TCAAAGTAGGTGAAGGAACAGCATAAAAATGACAGCTTACTGTTGACAGGCATAAGTCTCAAATTCAAATCCTAATTTTTCAGCCGCGAAGCTGCACATGGTGGCGTCCCAAAAATTAGCCAAAGTTTGTAAATCGGATGTAAAGTAAGCAAACAACATACCTTATGAATCACAATGGAAATATTTTCTTCCATACACGATATGAAACCTAAAATCGTACCAATGACTAGCTATCATAAATTCATTCAACTATTATGTGGAATAAAGTTGGTAATGAAAACGAAATAGATTTATTTATACTGTCATTTGGCTACTCAATGTTTTTTTCCCCTGATCTGAATTCATTAAATGAACTAATAATGATATTGCCTCATAAGGAGTAGCATGAAATGGTGTAACAAATCGACAGGGGGTGCTTACTTCTCCATGGCACATGATCCAACAACTTCTTTTCTGTGGTCTGTGTTCGTCCTATTCTCAATTCGTTTCTTTTCATGGACTTCTGAGCATGAATGCCGTTCGTTTTCTTCATATTTCATGAAATTTCTTGTTATTGATTTTTTAAAATAATTCCGTGTGTTTCATACATGTACAGGTGTACCTTCATACTATATAAATAAACATTGCGAAACTACATAAGGAATGTTAAACTGGAAAAATTTGCATAATGTTTGTATACACAGACGTCATCTATTTTTATTTATGATCATAACACAATTACACGGTGACCTAAATGTCACTGACGGTAAACTAGGCTATCTTCTTTGAAAATTGCCCCCCCCCCCCAAAAAAAAATATTCTACGACTGGGAAGGTTTCAAAATAAACGATGCATGTTTATTATAAATGAAAGTAAAATAATATTTAATTGCAAATAATAATATGGCGAAAAAAAAATTACTATTATTTGATGATTTTTTTTTTTGGGGTCCTGTAAAGAAATAATGATTGATTGGTTGTATATTGCTTAACGCCGAATCAAAATATTTCAGCCATATTTCGGCGGTATATAGAAAGAGATGCTGTGGTTCACATATATTGAAAAAATACATATACACATTCAAAGTGCATATAGCAAAAAGAAAAATCATCTGTTTATTACTTTTTTTTTAAAGAAAGTGAAAAAATATAAAAAGTTATCTTTATACATTTTATGTAATGATGCTTAAGATATGCAGCGTATGAGCGGTAAATGAAATAAGAAACCTTTGTTACAAAGTTTAATTCGAGGTAAAAAGATAGAAAGAAAATTATCAGTTAGAGAAAGTAATTGAAACAATCTTTCGGTAAATAAGCTACTCATTATCAAAACAATCTTAAACTCCTGTTTTTACTTATAAATTAAATGCTTATATCAATTATCTTTAAAATACGAGGAAAAAACCCCCCAGAGTTTCACGTTAGACTTACTAGTATGAATTAGGACAATACTTCATTTGTACAAGATGACGATGAAAAATAAAATACTTTTCAAAATGCGTAATTTCAATAATAATACATTCAAATCATTACCTGGTATTACCAAATTCAGTTACAGTATTTGAAAAACACCATTAGATATAAGAATGACTTGAATGCCAAACATTCATTTATTTGCATTTAAAAGCAGTGTGTCCAGAAAGTAGATCATGTCCTTAACATTATAAAGAATTGATTCAAAGTAATTTTTTAACATGTACTAATCCTGACCAATCAAAATATAAAGAATTCTTGAATGAATTAGAAATTGAGTTTTAAAAACTATAGATTTAAAATTATTCTATTTTAGTTAAAAGGGCAGATTACTACTCTAACTGCGTAAAAATACCACAGAATCAGAACTCTTTAGTGTGCAGTGTATAGAGGGTTTCTATATGACAAAAAATATATATTTGACACAGAATATTTGACACATAATAATCTACTAAGAACTTTTATTCCATTTGAATTGTCCATTGTTTTTAGTGCAGGGAGATTTGGATAGCCTTTATACCCATTTTACTAAAAGGATTCTTACTAATTGCTATTTTAAAGCATCCCTTCGAAAATATAATCTAAAATATTAAAGAAAATTATTTTTTACGTAGAATTAGGAATGATCGTATAACAGTTCTAAATGTTAGTCTCTTCATAAGAAAAATATATGTACCAGAAATTAATAACCAAATATTTATGTATGCACTTAATATCATTTATATTAAGTGTTTAACATGTACACATTTTGTTTCTAAATTTTAATATATTTCTACATTTAATGCAAAAACGAAACGTTTTATACAACTATAACTTTTAACTCTCACTTCTCTTTTAGTGAACTAAACTATATTTTTGTGATTCCTGGTGTGTAAGGATTGTTTGTTTTCACTTTGGTTGTAAAATGCGGTGTTCTGTAGCATCATATTTTGCATACCTTACAGATGAAATCACATTACGTAATTGATATGATTGAATTTCAAAATATTGCTGAAAGTCTCAAGAGAAAGCAAACATATTTTCAATAAAATCAATATTGAATAAATAAAACAGAGTTAATTAAATACACTTACAACAAACCTATTCTTCATTTCAAAATCTACATTACCAATAAATCAAATAATGGACTTCAAAACTTGGCTTTGGCAAAATAATTTTGATATTCCGTTAGAGACGGAAAATTCTTACTATTTTTTTACTGCTTAATACTGGTTTTTCTATATGATTAAATTTGAAGTGCCGGCTGGTTGACATAGATGGTAGCAAACCTGATTGCTTCAACCAGATGTTTATTTATATTTTGGTACTAAACTCTCTAATTAGAAAGTGTAATTATCTTTAGCTTATTATGTCCAATGACAGGTTTATTTATAATTGTTATACGTTACAATACCTAACACACGTGTGAAATATTTTTAATGAATAAATCATTACACCCACGTTGCATTCAAATATTTTTTTACAGAGTACATGACTTTGAGAGTTTGCGTTAATCAAACTTCTTTTCTAGTCTATAGAAATTCAGATAATGATTAAAAGTTTTACGTTTTGATTAACTGCTCCTTCTTTTTATAAAATATATGTTAATGGTTTTAAGTATTCAACAAATCAACGAATATCATATTTGAAGCAAATCAGATCTTTCAATGAAGTTCATATTTTATTACATGTAAGCTGAGATATATGCATATTTTTAAGCAGTCCCTGTATTAATTTGCTACATTCATTCCAACTGCTTAACAAATTCATCTTTTCTTATATTTAGATTAAATTTACCCCGTGGGCTGACTTGTTTTAATATACATTTTTTTTTTAAAAAAATCAATAACATTATACATTTATTGACTGCGTTTGAGGACAACATGCGTTTTGTCGGACCCAAGAACCAAACTGTTTGCCGGAGGCCGTTAGGCCGAAGGCAAACAGTTTGGTTCGAGGGGTCGACAAAACGCATTTTGCCCGAGAACACAGTCAATAAATGTTTTGTTATACCTTTTATTTATTTATTTTATTATTATTTTTTGACATACATGTATGTCGAACACCAACGAATGCAAATGAGATTTACCTGATCCCGCCCATTATGTGACGTAAGCGGTCTAACATCTCATCAACAGGTCCAATATCTCACTCCGTGGTCAAACTTCGATTTTTCTATGCCCGCTCAGTAAAACATTGGAAATGTTAGACTTTTATTAGTATTGATTTATATTCTAGGAACAAATTTTTAAAGGTATAACAATAATAATTACATATGATTTATTTGATCTAAGATTGACCCTATTCAATCTATGGAATGCTTTAATTCATACACGTTTATTAATTGTACATTTAGACCTTGTACAGCTGATATGTTTGTTTGTTTGTTGTTTAACGTCCCTCTCGAGAATTTTTCACTCATATGGAGACGCCACCACTTGCCGGTGGAGAGCTGCAAATTTTGTCCTATACTCGGCACTTACGGCCATTGAGCAGTAAGGGATCTTTTTCGTGCCAGCACCTAGTAAGGATCAACTCCTTACTTCGCGACTCTAGAGCAGACGCTCTAACCACTGCGCCCCGCGGGCGACCAGCTGATATGAGATTCCATAAGATAATAGCCATTTTCCTTTAAAACACAATAAATAGAGGATATTTAATGTTTTTAGATGAATATGGAATTTATTTCAAGAGTGGGACAGGATTTTTTGATATTTTCAATAATAAAATATAAAAAAAATCCGGTCCTGTCTCACGAGTGAAATAAATTCCATATTCATCTACAAATCATTGAATTTTCTGTTTATTACATTTTCTTAGATTTTTCCATTTGCCTCTGTCTTTTCGTAACACAGTGTCAGTAGCCTGTGACGTCATAGTTGAGCGGTAGCTAAGCGATTGCGAGATTGAAAAACGTTGTAAAAATGGATTTATAACGACATATTTGGAAAAACTTAGGCATTATATCTATAGTCTATGTTAGGATGACACGTTAACTCTATCTTATAACAGGCCGGGGATTTTTTTAAACACTCTTCGTGAAGGGAAGGAAAATCGTTTTGCCGCATTTCGTTTTGCCGCATATTCTCATACTGTAAGAATACCATTTTGATATCTTTTCACTGTGTGTCAGAATATAACTTTTTTCAGTTAATAAATTACAGTATCTCACTGTTAAAAAATGTTATAAATATGAATACACATGTATCAAGAATTATAAATATCGCCAACAAAAAGTTTACTCGAAGCAGTTTCTGAAAAAATTATGTTGCAAAAAACATGCATGACAATTTTATAATGTTCATGAATGAAAATATTGATATAGGCTTACAGGTGTCAAGATTTTTCAAGTAGGTTCCATGTACTCTAAATATAGATAATGGAGAAACGTGTGATTGACAAGAAAGAACTGGACTCATTTTAAAACCATAATTTGTAGCTGTTTTTAATACATGGTCATTAATGGGAGAATCTTACCTGGCAATAATAATTAATGTTATGTTTGTGTTTTCTTTATGTTTGAAACTGATAAAGAAAAAGTCGAGGAAGTTCGAGTCATATACCTTTTTTTTATTTTGACCAAATTTTCTGTACGATGTACATGACTACATTTATAATCTTTAAACTTTGTATTAAAAACAACCAATATACACTAAATGCAATACATGTGACGTCACATTACCCTATGTGTTAGATCTTTCTGAAAACCTTTTACATATCAGACTAGCAATCAAAATGCATATTAAATACTTAATACGATTTTATAGAAATAAACATATAATACAACTCATAGTCCAGTGTAAGATATTCTGACAACTCAAATCAATCCTTTTAGCGTTTTCTAGTGAAAAAAATCCTGCCATCAATTTTTATACCGCTTGGAGTTCAATACGGTATTCAAATATCGAAATTTCATTTCTTTTTTCGACCATTCCAAGACTGCACACTCCTCTTCCGCTATAATATTATGAGTTAAATACACTATATATCATTCTTTGATTAAACATCTTTTAGCTTGCGATTAATCTTGTTTTCTAACACCTGAAAAGAGAAAAGAAGTCTTTGAGCTAAAAGTGTCCATGAAGGAAAATGCTTATCATAAATTAAGTATTGTGTGAAAAAAAATAACATGCTTTAGTTCATTAAGAAGAAACGTTTTTTAAAGATTTGATATAATTATTAACAAAACTGAAAAATAATGTTACCTCATAAATTAACAAGTGATTAGAAAGATGTTTAGGTAAATTTTATTTTGTCTGTAACAGAAACATTTATTTTATATGCTATTTGATCTATTTATATCTTTAGATTTGATAGCGACCACCTTTATCTGGCTGTCACTTCTCGTTTGTGGTTATTTTCTCCCAGTGAAATATCCTGTGCAAATTAAATCTATTCAATGCGTTCTGAGGTCATCAAATTTCAAACGAAATCACAAATATCGCTTATTGCAGCCATTGTCTAATCACATGACGATTTATGGGATCAGGAGATTTCTGATTGTGTGTGTTTGTGTGTGTGTGTGTGTATGTGTGTGGGTGTGTGGGTGTGTGTGTGTGTGTAAATTATACGTGAGTTTATTTTAAAAAAGGCTTATGAGAACCATTCAAATACTCGGGTACTTATATTAAATTATTTATCTTTCCTTTATTAGATTCTTCTGCTCATTTAAATAACGGAACAAATTACAGGAAAAACTAACCTAATGAGCCTGTTAAAACATTTGGAATTAGAATCCAATTTCAAGTTAAGAACAAAAAACTAAAATTGTCTTTCCTTTAATATGATCATTAGATATTTCCCGTTTATAAGTTCATGGTTTCATGGTTTGTTGTTTTAAATGCCTAACCCCGATAGCAGTTAATGCAATTTTTTTCACACCTATGAAAATTTGAGTAGAAACCTTAACTACTGCCTTTATATACAGTGTGCCTTTATTATCTCGTGAATTTCATCAAGGGTAAACGATCGATAGGATAATTTACGTTCTATTGCTCGGTTCACCTGTGAATTTGATGTCATATTGTATTATGCACTTTTGTCAAATCAGAGTAAAACTTGTCTTTTTAATTATGCAATAATTTATGCAGAAACTTGTAGAAAGTTTTTTTTTTTAAAATGCAGTACTAAAGTATACGTAATAACACATTTTTTTAAATATTCTGCTTAAATATGTATTTACAAAATAATTAAGGTTGTTGTGTGGATTGAAGAATATTGCAATCCCAAGTTAGATTAACTATTTTATTATTAAATTAAGTTGGAACTCAATGTTCTAAAAACAATTTTCCTGTAAACCTTATACTTATTGCAAATTTTCTTTCGTGATATCCAGATAATATCATATCAAATGAATATTTTAAAAGGATAAAAAAAATCTATAAAAATTATGTTACACGTAACATGGAATATTTTTTTTTTCAGAAATTGTAACCTAGATGACCCTAAAACGTTCCGATTAAACGTACACAGGTGTTAGCTTCAACAACAAAAAGTAAAAATCATAAATTTGATAAAGTATTTAACTTCATAAAATGAAACAACTCCGTATGTTTTAGTCTATGTATATATTAATATATTTTTAAAATAAGGTTTTAAAATACATGTTTATCAATCCCACTGACATTTCCTTCATAATGAGTATGTCATCAAAATTCAAACACATTTTCATTTACATAAATATTATGTACATTAGGCTTCAAAACTTTGGAAATTGTATATAAGTTTGCAAAAACCTCATTACACTTTATTTGCATATATTAATCTTTTCATTTTGCTGATTCATGTTGCAATGCGTTCTATTAAAAGAACCTTGTCATAAGGTCCCTTGGCTTTCTCTAAGAAGAAAAATCTTAAAAATTACTTTTTACTAAAGAAACGTATAAAATAAAGTGACGCTTTTATAAATATGGTTATGAATATGGAGAAATACCTGCATTCTCTGGCTAATTTTCTTATGTATCATTTCGATTTTTAAGTATTTCTTTTCCAAAGTCAGCATTCTTGTCCGTTCACTTTGAAGGTCCTTTATATATTTTATCCACTGTGTCAGAACCAGAAGGGCATCCTCTTTCACATTGCTTAAAAGATAACGAAAATCATATTCCGGAAACGCCTTCCTAAATTCACAATAAAAACATTCGCACTTAAATATTTTCAATATGTGTACAACTTTTATAGACATGGAGTTAAAAGATTTGATAAAATGGTGTTAAAAAAACTATAACAGAGAGATTTCTCTTTGTATAACACTTGTATTACTTACAGACATGTTTGTGGAAGAAGTCTCGCAATTTTTCTAATTACTTCCTTAAATCTACATCCTAGTTGTTTATCTAAAGAGTAGATAACCAAAAACATTAAAATAATTCCTATATTACTCTCTATAATAAAATATTAATCATACAAATAATGAAATGTCTTTTCGATATATCTACATTCTTATTTTTATTTCATCGAATGGACAAAAGAAAAAAATACAAAGTGATTTAAAAAATCTTTTTATGTGCAATACATATTAACTCACCTTTTTGTTGTTTATACTGGCTTTTTCTGGAAACATATCCCAATTTTCTAATTTTGTTGTATACATGTATTTTCTTCATCATTGTCCCACGACAGTTTTTAACCATCTTCTCAAGTTGCCCTTTTAAAAAAAAGAAACTAGGTTGGAAAGCTTACGGGGCGTCATATACATTGCGCACATGTTTATTCATGTGCTGACAATTAAATAGCTCTTCTTACAACTCTACACTGTAAAAAATGATGTTTAACTTGTGTTTAATTTTTAAACAGTCGTGTTTTACCATTAAACATGGTGGGTTTAAATACAAAACATTAGCGTTTAACATATAAACACGACTATTTAAATTGGTGTTCAGTAAGTATGGTGTTTAATCATCCATCTTAAACACGCAATGTTCATATGCATCAAATCAAAAAATTAAATTAGGTGTTGCTTCTAAGTATTGCTGTGTGCATTTGCCATTTGTACAATTTCTTTAATTTACGAAGTAATTCCGTACATACTAGTAGATATTTTTCGACACAGAAAAAATACGAATAGCCAGGCAATACGTTGAGTTTAGATCATACCAAAAGCAATTACAATTAACATTAATTTATGGTAATTTTGTGCCAAAAATTCATAAATTTCATAAACTGCTAAAGGGGAAAGAGAAACAAATATTATGATGACTTTTATAATTTATCAATATTTTAATCACCGGTGTTTAACACGAGTGTTCATTTCTTAACCATCATATATTTATAAATTAAACACATGGTATATATATAGAAATTGCAAATTAAACACCTGTGTTTAATGCGTTATGATAGAAAATGACGCAATTGATTATGTCATAACATGCCATTTGAACGCAGAAGATGCAGAATCACGCATATATTGGCAAAAACACCATATCTAACAAGAAAACAGGAGGTATTTATACATTTCTTTATATAAAATCTGAAAAAAATTGAATGCTTAATACATTAGAGATTTATACTGCTTTTCATTTGTGAAATGCACGATTGTTAGGCCTATCGTCTGAGTGCAAATGCGGCCATGTGCAGCGATCGGCATAAAATATTTGTAGTCTTTAAGTATATTGCGATATCTAATTAATTTGCAGGGACGTTCATCTCTTATTGTGAATCCTGAGAAGAATACATTACTTGATAAAGGAAAGTGATTTTAAACGAATATCACACTTAACCTCGAGAGGTGAGTTTAAAGGGCATTTCAAAGAAGAAGGGTCATCCCCCTTACACACACACCCTTCACACACACACAAACATCATTGTTTCCTAGCCTACACTAGTTTTGGGTCTCCCAGTAACATGAAATTTAAGTAAATATAATCCAATTACCTGCCCTTGATAAAATTTATGCTCCCTATCACGCATTATTATGATTATTTGCTGACCAAACATAACTTAACACATAAGCGTTAACAACAACACTTTTCATCCCCTGCCCGCGCAGGTATTCTTTAAGGAGACTTTACACTTTTGGGGAGTGTTGTTTACCTGATAGAAAATGCCTTGGGTAGCCCCCCCCCCCCCCTTCTCTTAATTGTTGCTGTTGGGCTGCTCCTGCAGGTACATTAATATTTAATTTTTTAGTGTATACACTGTTTGTATGCTTAATATATGATTTATTTGTATTGCAGATTTTTATTTCAAACTTGTTTCTCAGTATGTATTATATAATTAAAATTGGCATGAAGGATAAAAAATTATTTTTTTTACCTCAATGTATTCTCTTACAGATAATTTTCTGAATTTGCATAGTGAATATTTTTTATCTATCTATTTTTCAGGATATTTCTTATAAGAAGAAGGAATTAGAAATACTAAGGTTGAATAAAATTTTGGAGAATGGAAAACTGGAGATCATCATTCGTGGCAGAGGAACCTGAATTTTACACACAAGCAGAGGAGACTGTTTAACTCGGTTAGAATATGAAATTTAGTGAGTGATACCCCGGCAGCTCTTGTGAAGTAGCAAGAATATTTAATGAATTAGTCGTTTACAGGTAAAAAACTGGAAATTTTCTTCATTTGGCTAAAACTCTGAATATTAGTGAAAGTAAAATTATACAGGTACAACAACTGGATTTATTAACTGCAATACATACACAATGTATATATCCCGTACTCAGGCAATAAATAACATTTTCAGTCTTTGTGCATTATATTTAATTATGAGTTTGTTTGTTTTATTAAAAAAGATGTAATGGACGCCCTGTCCCTTTTTAAAAATAAAGTTTCAAAATTTTATTCCTGAAAAATAATATATCATTTTATTAAGCGATTTTCCTATCCCCCCCCCCCGCCACCAATTTTATTGAATTTTAGTTCACATGCAGGTTTTACATGTTCATGCTTTTTTTTTTTTTTTTTTTTTATAATTCTATCTTTCAACTTGAATTGAATTATGTATCTACAAGTGTGTGTTAGCAAATGTGTTGATAAATGTTATAATTGTTTATAAAGTTTGAATCTCTATTCAACATTAAATCATTTATTAATTAAGCTTTATGTACATGTTCGTCATCAAGAACAGTGTGTTTTGTACTGTTTTATGTTTGTTTCAAATAAAAATGTTGAAAACTTATAAACACGTGTAAGTGTTTATTTATTTTGTAAATTAAACACGTTGAAGTGTTTAAAAAATGGCGTATAAACATGTTTAAGTGATTATTATCTGTTGCATCGAATAAACATGTTTAAGTGTTTAAGTGTTTAGGTTGAACGTGTTTATTAATAAAACATGAAATGTTTAAATTTTAAACACACACGGTGTTTATTTATTAAACTCCTTGTGTTTATTCAGTGTTTAATCTTTAAACGTTTTGTGTTTTTGAAGTGTTTAGTATTTAAACAGAATGAGAAAGAAGTATTTAAATATTAAACCTCATGTGTTTAGAATTTAAACATTTTAACGTGTTTATTTCTTAAACACTTCACGAAGTGTTTAAATTTTAAACGTGTTAAAGTGTTTATTATCTGTGGCAATTTGGTGTTTATTTTTAAAACACTTATTTTTTACAGTGTAGATGTCATTATAATTTGTTATCTAAATACATGAAAAAGGTGAAGGTCAGGAACACTGATCGATCTCTAAAAACCTAAAAACTAAACAAACTTGTTCGCAGGACATAAAACACTGACCCTTGGAAATTCCAGAGGTGGGATATGGGGCCCGTTTTACAGAAGAACTTACGATTAAAACTAAAATTTGATTCTGTTTGTAACTTTTTAATTTACATTTAATTGAAAATGGTTTTAATCTTTTTTAAAGGAGTTGAGAATCATATACTTACGCTAGCAATTTTAAACAGAATTATAAATTTTGCAAAATTTTACAATAAACTAAGTTTTTGGGTCTTAGTCGTAAGTTCTTTTGTAGAGCGGGTCCCAGATCCCTAAGAGGAATTAACATTTCCTGTCGTTCAGATATACCCGCCGTGAGCTCTATGTATTGATCAGGTTGACCGAATATTCTGTAGCAAAATTTACTACAAAAACAAAAGCCTTAAAATTGGTATGAAATGTGTCATTAATATGTCATTAAAAATACGATACAACGGTAGGATCTACTTGCTTACAGGGTTATTATATCGAGTATAAAATTTCTGAAATGTTGACTTCAAGTAAGGTAGTTGTAGCACGTGCACGGCGTTTGAATGTTATAGAATCTACCGCAATATACTACTAGTATTCTTATTTTTAAAAAAAAATTGGGAGCTCCCTACCCCACTCCATTTCCCCTTGTATCACGGGCCTGAAAAATGTGTTGATTAAGATGATTGAATACAACAAATTCTGTTAAGTGTCCCAACATCTGGACTATATAGTCTCATCCAATTTTACACAGTCAAACTCTTCAAAATTATCAATCTCATCTTTTACCGTCAAGTAATCTAGCAGAAATCTTTCAGACACCTTTGTTTACTTTTAATAATTTGTTTCTGTTTAATCTTAAAGGTTTTTCCTCTTTCGTTTGAGCGAATCTCGACGCTCCCGTCACTTGTGACTCAGTCACAAATATGACGTCATTTCTTACAAGGGCCACTACTATAATTTTAAAAAGAAAACAATATGGAGAGGGTTTCTCTCTCTCTCTCTCTCTCTCTCTCTCTCTCTCTCTCTCTCTCTCTATATATATATATATATATATATATATATATATATTGTAGTTTCTACTGACAGCCATGAGTGAGTACAGGCTTATAGCAGGAAGAAATACTTTGTTCAAAATCCCGCATGAAGTAGAAGTACGTCTCCACCTCAACCCCCCACCCCCCACCCCCTCCCTTTGTTAAACTCAAATAACAATTTCATTAATTGACGTTTATTGTGAAACCTGTTATATACTGTGTTATGGATATTGTACTTCAGATACTCTTATTTCATTTCCGTCAAGAAATGCTCATTTTACTGAGAAGTTGATTTTTTTGGGGAGTAAAAAATCAAAGGTACTTGGGTCTTGGTTTATAATTATGTAATATGTACCTTATTGATATGTAAAAACTGTACCTTACCTCTTTTTTTTACATATCAATAAGGTACATACATATTTATAATCCAAGATCCAAGTACCTGTGTAAAAAATAGCTTTTATATAATGCCGTTTGAATACACAGGCGGATTTAGAAGGGGCAGCCTCCACCCCCTCCCGTTTTGTGTCCAAAATATACATAAAATTTAATAAATCAACTTTTTGTGTGTGTCTGTGGGCTCCTACCCCAACCCAAAACTGGTCCCCCCCTTTTTTTTCAAAATTCCTGGATCTGCCAGTGGAATAGGCCGAGTATTTGATACAAAAGACTGTATTCAGAAAATATTACGATCGGTGAATGACGAAAATAATTTGCACATTTTCCTTTTTAATCGGTCATCACAACTTATTTCTTTTATATCATTTAAATCAAGTTTCGATTGAATAATTCAGTAATGACGTTTAATGAAATAATAAACGATTGCTTGTTGCCAGTTTCATTAAAATTGCCAGTAATTTATATCCGCCAACCGGAAACGCCACCGTACTCACGTTTTTTGCTATTTCATGGCTGTTTATAGAAAATAAAAGTAGACTTTTAATTTAATGTACGATACTTACAATGCAAGTGAAATCTAAATATAGTTTACGGACATCATCTTGTATCGTGTGTATTCTTAGAGGAGTAAGTAAGAACTCTCTGCACCCGTTTCGAAGTTTATTTGCAAAATTTACTAATTTATAAGTATAGATATTTCTTTTGTTTTTGTAGAGAAATTCAAAACTTATTATCTTTAGCTTATTAAACCTAAATTATTGATCAATACGATATGTAAAGACAAGTTGGTAATGTAATATCGTAAAACTTTTAATATCAAATTGTAATTTTACACAATCCTTTTGACTTATTGTTTAATTTGACATAGAACCTAACCTGATTGGTATAAGAATTCCCTCTACTAAGTATCACTCGTTCATTTAAACAGTGGCACTCTTCTGAACAAAAATATTTTTCACAATAATATATGAAACGCAGTGGATCCTTCATTTATACGTGATGCAAATACCAATCGCAATTTTTTTTTTTTTTTTTTTTTTTTTTTTTTTTTTTTTTTTTGTTGAATGGTTTTACAGCCAGAGAAAATTAAAATAAACTGATTCTACTTAGTGAAGTCAACTTTAAGGGTATTTAATGATATAAACATTAGTTAGTCTGTATAAGGCATGCTTACATCTACGTTTAAAAAATTCCGTTTTTTAGGAAGATTAATTGCACAAATATTCATATTCATGAATACAAAATCTATTTATATGTAACCTCTTCCTTTCTTACAGAACACGTTTTAATGTATGACAATGACATGCTTTTTAAATGTTTTTATTGGTGCAAATGAATCCATTCTCTCACACCTAATTTTTAACAATGAAGAAGAGCTAATGCGCCTTGGTATATGTAAATGAATAATTATTCTATTTTGAAGGAAATTTATGGGAATAAAATTTAAAAATCATATATTTGTTAAAAATGATGCAAAAAGATCTGAGATTTCTTATTAATGTGATCTCTTTTATAAAGAAAATATACATTTTTTGCAACATAAAATAAATAGTGACTCAATTAAAAAGCCAGAGTTGAATGGATTAAAATAACAATATATACATCAGTGATGCTTATAATTCTTATTTTTAAATTGATTCTTACTTTACAATGGATCATTGTATTCAGTAAAGAATATTATTACATTTTCAACAGTGAAATACTGTGATTTATTTATTGAATAAAAGTGATATTCTCTCACAGTATGAAAGTATACCAACATGATATTCTCTCACAGTGTGAAAGGATATCAAAGTACGTAAAAAACAGTTTCTGGCCTGTCATAAGATAGAGATAGTAACTAAGCATCTTGATAGAGCTAAAACTGCAAATTTCTTCCCAAATATGTTGCTAAAATCCATGCTATGTATTGTTTTCAATAACACAACTGCTAAGCTACGATCGACGTCTCAACCGCTCAACTATGACGTCAAGCCTATGACACTGTGTTAAGAAAATACAGAGACAAAGGGAAAATCAAAGAAAATTTAATAAACAGAAAATTCAATGTTTTGTAGATGAATATGGAATTTATTTCACTCGTGAGACAGGATTTTTTGATATTTTCACTCGTGCTTCGCACTCGTGAAAATATCAAAAAATTCTGTCCCACTCGTGAAATAAATTCCATATTCATCTACAAGCCATTGAATATCCTTTATTTCTTTTAAATTTTATATATTTTTTTTTACTTTATTTGGAAAGATCTCCTTAAGTGCAGCAATTGACATCAGATAACCTATATTAATATTCACCAATAGCTCAGTGCATTCAAATTAACTTTATAGTTTTAGAACAAGACTAAAATTTAATAAGTACTATCATCTGAATATAAGAAGAATGTAAATTTGATCTTTCATCAAGATAAACCAATCCTTTTCAAAATTTCTTTTAAACATGCATACATCTAATGACTTTTTCTTTATATAAAATGTTTTATTTTTATTTGTTATATTTACCCCTCCAAAAAATAAAGACATTATGCATTGATGACACAGACCGGTTAAATCATTGATACGTTGAAATTATAACATTATTTTCTTTTATCTGTTTAAGTCTCAAATATTGATTTTGATGCCAGATTTCGCTTTACAGTACCGACAAGACCCCATCTGACACCCAAACAGTCCCACAGAGCTGTCGCTTTGACTGCTTTCTCAATATAGGGGACTGCTATGGGATTGCTGTAAGACTGCTCTGAGACTGCTCTTGGTCTGCTGTAGAAAGAAAATCTAGCAGTCTCAGCGGTTCATGGAACCATAGGTGCTTTAGGACAGGATCCCCCCCCCCTCCCGGTAAAAGACCCCGGGTCTTTTTTCCTGTAATTTTTTATGACACATTCATGATCTAATTCATACCATTAAGTCAATAAAGCCTAAAAGCAAACATGAAAAATACTATACGACTCTTGATATTAAATCAACAAGGTTCCTACTTTCTGTGATTGCTTTGTTCACACGTGCGTGAAAAAAAATCACAGAGTGACAAGATAGACCCGCCTTTATTGTATTCCATATTTGCAGATTTCCCGTTGTATATTTGTTTACTTTCAGGATAAAATGAAATTATTCTACCATTCTTCTGTCATATAAAAAATGTATTTCATTATTCGTGGATTTTTATGAGTTAGTTTTTACTTATAAACATGTAATAATAATCAATCTTTTAATTTATTTAAAACTAGACATGCTAGATTTCTAATTGTGTTTAAGGTATTGTTTGTTTTATGTATGTTCATGGAAAACTAAGATAAATGTAAGAGCTCAATTACCTAGTCGATTAAAAGCTATACACGCTGTTCAAAAAGTGTATTATCACCTGAGATTTCAATCGCCTCTAGGTATGATTAGCAGAAACACCAAGCGTGTTCTTTGGGTACCTATGTTACACATTACTGACCATGGTGGTCCATATTGACACTCTCTGCGAGGGGAACCATAAATTTGCTATTTCCCTCATACCCATTCCATAACTGTTTTATTAAACCGAAACAATCATAGGAGATCTATTAAACTAGATTCTCAGACATTTTTGAGACAATATAGAGGCATTCAAGTAAAAATGAATTCATGTCACCAAAATTTTGTTTGATATCTTATGCATCAATACCGAGGTAAACAATAATATGTCCAAAAAATAAAGTAATTCCACTGATATTTTAGAGAATCATAATGCTTGTCATTTTGCTACATGTACTTTTCCAGTATGATTTTGACATCGCATTTCGAAATGTTTTAACTTATCATCACTTTTACTTTAAATTATCTCCCATTTTCATAGCTCTCTAACACAGGAAGTAAAAAACAGTATTTTGCTTACATTGTTTTCAATGACAATGCAAAGAATACTAGTAGAAAATTACCAACTTAGAACGGTCTGAGCTTTTGTTTTGACGTCATTATGGTTCTTATTACGGTGAGTGATTGAAATGTTTACAATCCTTTTTTTTTTTCCAACTGAAGAGTGCATAGCATAAATTAATCATGCAGTTAAATATGTAACACTTGGAAAGTGTTTTTTTTTTATAGTTAATATTTGTATATTTTAATAATTTGATTCTGATTGATTATGTTAGCGTTTTTCATTTCTTAATTGAAAAAAAGAAAAGATTGAAGAGAGTTATTTTGAAACGTAAAATAGTAGGTCAATCACATCATTAAATTGTATCCCAAATTACAAAGTCGAGTTATACTGTCGTATAATTCACGGTATATATTACCAAAGTCATTCCCCAGCTAATATGAATTGGAAGAGTAAATAAAAATATAGTAAAGTAGATATATCTTTATTTACCATTTAAGCTAATACCTATGTGTATTACAAAAAAAAGTATGGTTTTATGATAAACCAAACTATTATGAAATATGTTTAAAATGGTTGAACTCTTTTTATGTTGTCCGAAAAAAAATTAAACTGCGGAGGGGGGGGGGGGCTACACTCTCTATTAAATGTATTTTAAGAGAAGGGATTACCTTGGAAGTATTGCTATACAGACAATTGTATAATGTGGTGGACTTGTGGTAACTGCATTGTACATGTATATGTACCGAAGTAAAATGAATAATGAATTCTTAAAAATAACTTGTTGCTGATGTCATCCAGTGTTTACTTTTTTTTTTAAATTCATTTTAGCTTATATTTTCTCCAGTACCACTGACCTTATTTAAGTCAATCTTGGTTTAAACTAAAAGTATCTTTAAGTTTAAAGCATTTAAGTTTGAAGAAATGAATATCTAACCCCCTCATTTTTGGCGGGGAGTAGATCGAAAAAAAATCAAATTAAAAGAATATTTAAAATCAATATGATCTCAATTTTTTCTTTTGTACTTCTGTTTGTAGAATGAAATTCAGCTTTTCAGTAGGACTATACGAGAAAAGTTAAAGAGACATACAATAAAAGCAGAAAGCAGAAATAAAAGCAAATTAAAAAAAAAAAATATTGTGGGGATTAAACTTGTATAAGTTAGATTAATGAACTACATCACTTATTCACTATCAACATTAGATGAAACTCTGCCAATCATTTTACTGAAAGCTGACTATAAATTTACTGATTTTATTTTATAGATACGACATATAGTGATCAAGTGACAGAGCTCTACCATTCAACCACCCTTCCAGGTTTTCTATAGAAAACCTGACTACAAATTATTTTTATGTTATTTCTACTAATGATATCATAAACATGTTTAATTCAGGCTAAAATTTATCTCTGAACAATGATACATAAGTACTTAAAACTATGAATATTTTAATGCAATAAAATCTGTTTCTGAATGTTTTCATATGAAATCAATCACATCTCTTGTATGCATTGCTACAGTCTTATTTTCCAAGTAATTTGCCTTTTTATCATCAAGATATATAACAACGCAGCACTGGTGAGGCTATAAATAAAGAGGTTAGGACCATAGCATTCTTCCTTCGGGCAGATTATTAAAAAGCAAATTATTTTATACTGTTTACGTATTCGTGCGACTTTATGCAATGCGGTAACATGTACTTACATGTACACGGATAAATTCTGTATTAGACAAATAAGAATAAAAGTGATTGTCAATTTGATCGCCATATCGAAGTGAGTGTGTGGTACTATTGTTTTCTTGTTTGGAAGCAACTAATCTTTATGTACTCATTGCATGTAAAATTTATGAATACATTAAGCATATTGTTTTCTTTTTAATTGCGAAAATGTATTTTAGAGGATAAATTTTATTTTAGATACGAGATTTTAGTTCAACTCAAAAAATGTATTTGTCGTCTATATGTAAAAAGAAAAAAAAAACATATAAGACAATTTCATGGTGTGTACACTACGTCTTGAAAATATACTAATTTGTTGAAAGTATTTTTATGTATATATATTTTTTCTTTTTGCTGCAAAATAGTGTTTTCATTGTTAC